GAGGTGCTGAGAATCAAACTTAGTGCATCACACATGCTAGGCAAGTGCTCTACCAATGAGCCACAACCCCAGCCCAAAACACAGATAATTTTAATCCCCAAACCCAAGTCCTTGCTGAACCACTTTGCTGGATGGTTAATAAATGTATAATAATAATTTGTGACTACTGTTGTCTGTAGGGTAGTGATTAATCTTGGTCTCTTTTACTGAGTAGATAATAGGAGTTAAAGAGATAAAAATATGTACTTTATTCCTGGTAATGCTAGCCTGGAGAATGGCTTGGACAGGTAATTCAGGTGAGCTTTTTGTTTCTTCTCCGAATTGAATTTATATTCTCACTGAGGAGCCGACAGCTAGCAACTGCTAGCATTCTTTGTTCCCCGGCCACAGAGAGGAGAAGGCGCTCAGCCTGTAGGAGGCAGGCAAACCCTGAGGTGGGGAGTTGAAGAAGCTGAGTCACATGGGAGCCATGATCATTTCCCTGCTTTGAAGCCAGTTTAGAGAACTGAGTTTAGAGAAGAGTAAACATCTGTGTGGTACTTCTAAGAGGAAGAAGTTATTATCATATGGGTTAGTAGAAGCAAGAGGAGGAGAAGAGAAAGTCCCCCATCCTTTCTGTTGGATAAGGATGAAGTCAGTGAAGCTGTTGAGGCAGACAGTAACTGGCTGGGTCCTCACAGATACATCTCTTGGGGGTGACCAAGGCAATACTTGAAAGATAAGGATGTAGACATGGGATGGCATGGGGGCAGGGGTTAAGAGAATCTTGGGAACCAGGAACAGCCTGTCTGAATAGTTTCAGGAACTGAAAGGAGCCAGCATGTTCAGAACAGTGGTAGGCCTGGCAAGGGAGTGAAGAAGAAGTAACTCAGAATGATAAGAAATTTGCATTTTATTCTGTATGCCAAGGAAATTCCCTGAGGGATTTGAAGCAGATGAATGATTTGTATTTTTAAAATATTGTATGGAATGCAGAATATATTAGAAGGGGACAAAACAGGAAGCAGGGGGTCTACTATCAGAAGACAGACTAATGAGGATGACATGGCTAACATGATGGTTGGCGAAATGAAGAAAAGTTGAATTTGAGATGTATTTTGGAGGGAGATACCCACAAGACTTGCTGATATATTTAGATGGGGGCCAGGAGCTAAAGGAAAAGGGAGAAAGCAAGGATAACACTCCAGTTTCTGACCTTAGCAACTGGATGGACAATCCATTTGTTGAGATAACAGGGAAAGGAATAGTTGTGGGTATTTTGAACTTGCTAAGTTTAAGGTGCTTCTGTGTCTTTCATAAGAAAATGTATTGCAGACAGTCAATTCTGAGAACAGATTCCAGTAAGAGATGTAGGTTTGGGAGTTTTTAATACATTAAATGGCATTTAATTTGAATTTATGCGAATAAATGAGATCATCTAGGAGAATGCGGGAAAGAGAAGGGAAGATATCCCATGCCCAGGCCCTAAAGAACTGCATCCTGTGGATGGAGGTACATACAGTGGATACAGAGAAGGAACTGCCAGGGAAGTCCTTGGACCAGTAGAAATGTTGATATAGAAGGAGAGTGTTTAGTAAAGGGGAAGTGGTAGTCATGTTAGTTGCTAACCTGAAAAGTGGTCATTGGACTTGATAACAGAGGTCATTAATGTCTTTGTAAAACAGCAGTTTGGGGGCTGGGGATGTGGGTAGCGTGCTCGCCTGGCATGGGTGCGACCCAGGTTCGATCCTCAGCACCACATACAAACAAAGATGTTGTATCTGCCAAAAACTAAAATGTAAATAAAATATTAAAAAAAGAAAAACAGCAGTTTGAATGGAATGGATTGAAGGAAGAATGGGAATTGAGGAAATGAGTCAGTCGTTTAGATCTGTGCTTTCCAATACTTTAGGAGCTGGGTAAATCACCTGGAGATCTTGACAAAAATGTAGATTCTCCTTTAGGGTGCGAGGTTCTGCATTTCTGATGTTCTCTCAGAATGCTACTAGTCCATGGAACACAGATGTATAGCAGATGTATAGTCTAGTGGTTCTTATACTTTAGTGTGTGTTGAAATTAAATAAAGGGGAATTTCTTTTAAATTCACAGTGATATTGATGATACTGGTTCCCATACTTTGGGAGTTTCTGGTATAGGTGACTTTTTTTTTTTTTTGAGAATATTGAGATGTGTAGCCATCAAGGGAAATTTTTGTTGAGGATAGAGAATAACTAGAGTATATTTATGCTGGTAAGAATGATACAGCCAGACACAGTGGCACATGCCTGTAATTCCCAGTGATTCAGGAAGCTAAGGCATGAGGATCCAAAGTTCAAGGCCAACCTCAGTACATTAGTGAGACTTAAGCAACTTAGTGAGACCTTGTCTCAAAATAAATAAAAAGGGCTGCTAATGTAGCTTAGTGGTAAATTGTCCCTGGATTCAATCTTCAGTACCCCTCACACCCCCCCCCCAAAAAAAAAAGTAATAAAGAAGTGAAGTTCCTTGAAGATAAGGGGGATGGTCCGAAGTATGTATTGGTCTTTGATAAGGAGGGCATGTGTCCTTTGTTCTAGAAAAAGGGCAGATTGAGAGAATTGGTTTAAGTGCTGATGTGTTTATAGATTTGGTGATGGACCGATGGAACTCTCCTTGATGGTTTCTGTTTTCCCAGTGAAGGCAAGGGTACCTCTTAAGGGAAGTGGTTGAGTTGGAGGTTTGTGAGAGAAGATGTCAAATGATCAGTCTGGAGTGTAAAAATGAACTCACTAGTAAAGAGAGGCACTATTGAGAGCATATTTGAAGTTAAGGTCAGAAGTTTAAAATGCAGCCAATTGTGTGCTGTTTTGTTCCTTTTATCTTCAGTCACAGTTAGTTCCTTGGATTTGGACATGGGGAGTTAAATGCTTCTGAGATTAGACTTTATCCAGTGAGTATGTGGGGTTGGGGGGAGAGAGGTACAAGTAGCAATTATTATTGAGCAAGAAAGGAAATGAGGACAGGAGAGGGCTGAAGGATGGAAACAAGCAATGATGATTAGGTCAACAAATTGCCTAGCCAAGGTACAAGTGAACTAAAGAGAGGAGGATTGTGATGGGAAAAGAGTTTTGTAGGCAGGGCACTTTTTGGTGGGGAGGGAGACCTGAGGAGTGACGGTGAAGATGGTTGGATGAGGTGGAGTTTCCTAGAGTGGTCAGGAAACAGGAGGTTGGATACGCCCTCCACCTGGACGCTGAAGCTGCCAGGAGTAATGACAAAAGTTGGAAGTGGAGAGAGACTTTCAGATGGGAACTCTTTTTGGTGAATGATGGAAAATTCCAGGTCAGTAGATAACAGCAGCGGAGAGAGGTGGTTTATCAGGGTTGTGAGCAGAGGCCTTTAGAAAACAGTTGGACAGTAGTGGTCTTGAAGTGGTGCTAATTGGCAAGGAAGATACCCAGCCTGCCTGCTAGCCCTGAAACAAGCTGGCTGGGCGAGCACTCCCCCTCTGATGGAGGGCTGTGAAAGAGGAGTGTCTGCAAGATGCAGCCTCCTCTCACAAAGAGGCAGGAAAGTTCAGAAAAGAGGTTGAAGGTTTACAGGACTGTATCATGAATTGGGAGTTGAAGATTGGAGGGCATAAGCAAAGTCGGAGAGTAAAAGGAGAGGAATAGCTGGGGTACTTACAGAGAGCGGTGAAAGAAAGTTTGGTGTCAATTTGGTGATCATAGATAACCAGAAAGTCTTAGGTGCCCATTATACTGAGATATGAGGAATGATGGAATTAGCTCAATTTCCAAAAATACTTAAAATACACATGACGGTTTCTTGCTGTAGCTGTCTTGTACGGTCCAGCCTCTGCCGGCTTCTGACCTCATTCCCTGTGCTCTCCACTGGCTCCCTGAGCGCTGCTCACACAGCCTGCCATGCTCTGTCTACCTTTGTTTCTTTTTCCATTTGTTTCTTTGCACTTGCTCTTACAAGACATCTTAGCCAAGTGATTAAAAGCATAGAGCTCCAGATTCAGTCTCTCTGCTTTACCACCCTTTAAAACCTCTTTGTGCTCACTGTCCTTGTTTGTGAGTGAGGGAATAACAATACTTACTTTACAGGGGTGTTGAGGGATTAAAAGAGCTAACTTAAGAAAATAAACTAAAGGGCTCAGAATAGTTTCTTTTATGTAGTAAAGATGCAGAATGTTGATTTTTATCATTATTTCTTGTGCTTGAAGCTCATTTTCATACACATGGTTAATGCTGGTTTTAGTTCAGTTCTAAGCGCAAGTGTTCTTCCTCAAACATCCTAGTTAAAGTAGTGTAACTGCACTGGCTTCCCGTCATTCTTTCACTCTTTCTTCCATCAACATTTCATTTTGTTGCAACACCCATCACTATCTGAAATTATTTTATTGTTCTCCCTACTCCTCTCTCCCCAGAGCAGGGATTTGTTGGTTTGTTTCTTACTGTATCTCACCCTCTAGAAAGTGCCAAGTACTTTGTAAGTACACAGGAAATATTAGTACCAGCTCATTTTTCTGAAAACAGTATTTTCTAAAGCCTTTACTCTGATCGTCAGCTTATGGTGGCAGATGAAGTGAGGCCCAGGCAGAGGAGACAGAAAAGCCAATACTGTGATTATCAATCTGCTGGCTTATTTGGATCAATTGACTCCCTGTTTTTGTAAAGTTTATTAGAACAGAGCCACACCTGCTTTTTAGCTTATTATCTGGCTGTTTTCCAGCTATAAACAACCACACCTGAGCTATGATGACAGGCCTTGGGGGTGCACGATGTCTGGCCCTTTAGTGAAAAAATTTGCCAACCACTGGTTAGATGCATGAGAAAGACTAGAAGGAAACACCAAAAATAATAGAAGCTGTCTTTGGATAGTGAGATTACAGGTATTTTTGTTTTCTCCCCCCTTTTTCTATTTTGTTTAGGCCCATTTAATTTGGAAATGAAATAAATTTGTGAATATTCAAAAATGGTATTTAGAGCACTTTTAATGGTGGGACTTTTTTCCCCCCCTTTTCTTCTCTTTAGTGCTGCTTTTGACACAAAAACTGGGTTACGTGTGGCAGTGAAGAAGCTGTCCAGACCATTTCAGTCCATCATTCATGCCAAAAGGACCTACAGAGAGCTGCGGTTACTTAAACACATGAAACATGAAAATGTAAGTTATTCATCCAACGAAGATATAGTTTGTTCTTGGAGTAGACCGGAAAAATTATGATTTAATTCCTGCCAGTGGAAATACATTGGAGTGCATTGAAGTTTGGTTCCTGCTTCTCGGTGTGCTGTGTGTTAGTGGCTACTGGGTTGTCAAGTCAGAGTCTTGAAATAAAAATAGTGCATCTTCCAGGAGTTCTAGTTTTACCTATAAAGTACAACACAAATTTCTTAGGAATGTTTAAAAGATATTAAAAAGGAAATTTTTTTACTCTTTGCCTGGTTTGCTTAAGGCTATGTTATCAATGTGGGGGGTTCATGGCTATTTTCTGTTAACATGGATTATTTTAGTAAAAAAGTTTGAGGAAATGCTTTGATTCACTGAAAGTTCTATTAAAGATGGCTATTTTATATGTGCCCTCAGCTCTGTGTATTCATAGATTAAACCAACCACAAATAGAAAATATTCTGGAGGAAAAAAGATTTGAACTCTAATGAACACATGCAGACTTTTTTGTTATTCCCTAAACAATACAGTAAGGCTGGGGGATAGCTCAGTTGGTAGAGTGCTTGTCTTGCATGCACAAGGGTTCAATCCCCAGCACCAAACAAAACAAAACAAACAAAACAAAAACAAAAAACAGTATAACAACTATTTACATAGTATTTACTTTAGGATTATAGGTAATGTAGAGATGATCTTAAAAGTAGGTGGGAGGATTTGCACAGGTTGCACCATGCCATTTAATAGAAGGAGTGTGGGCATCTGCAGATATTGGTAACCATGGGAGGACTGTACAGTACTTTGATATTATAATTTTTCTTTTTAACCTTCTTTTATCCTAATAAATGTCACATAATTGTTTAAGTTAAATATAACTTTTTCTTTTCTACCAACTCAGTAATTTGAGAACAATGCCCTTTTGCAAAGGAGTGATTATAAGTCCTAATATGGCAAATCAGTAGATGTAATTGAATTATTAACTGAAAGTGAAAAACTGTTGACGAATGTCACTTAATTTTTTGACTTTCAAAATCAAGAAGAATTTCTGTGACTGCTGTATAACAGGTACTATAAAACTTGTAACATTGTAGAAACAAGGGCCAGAAAGATGTTGAGTCATTGGCCCTATTGGTTGTTACTGTGCACCAAAAAAAAAAAAAAAATTCAAAATCTGGGAATTCAGAATCTTTCTTTTTTAATGGTTGAACTTTTTTCTCCACAGTAAGGGGAAAAAAAAAAAAACATAAGTTAGGGGATACTTGATTAGTATACATTTGTCTCATTGATGCAAGTTCTTTCTAAATTGAGAACATGAAGACTTAACATTTGTGATTACATTATGGATGCTTTTTTTTTTAACAGCTGTATCTTTTTGTTCCATGTTTTATTTTGAGTGCATACTATTAAGAAAATCCTTTTTCTACAGGTAACCTCTATTCCTAAGTGTGATTTTTTATGAGCAGCTGTTTGCAAATCTGGGTTTTAAAAAAGTTCAGTACAGAAAGCTGGGCACAGTGGTGCACACCTGTGATCCTAGAGACCTGGGAGGCTGAGGCAGGAGTATCCCAAGTCAGAGGCCAACCTGGGCAACTTAACATGACCCTTTCTCAAAATTAAATATAAAAAGAGGACTGCACATGTGGCTTGGTGACAGAGCTGCCCTGGGTGCAATCCTCAGCACTGCAGGATGGGCCAGTTTAGTGCAGAGCTGCAGCCTTTCTAATCATGACATGTTTACAAGAAGTCGAGATATGTGGAAAAAGCTGGCAGGGGAAAGTTTATTCCCAGGTCTGCATAAAATCAAAGTGGCCTGGCAGCTTAACTGATGTGTTTACATTTGGTTTATAACACATTTGAATGTGTATGCTGTTTTTCATTACACATTAATAATGTGACAGAGACATTGTTACAGTTTTTTAAGTAAGAAGAAATATTTCAAAAATGGAATTCAAACTGAACATTTATGGAACCCCAAAATACCTCCAGAGGCTGAAGTATCTCACTGATACTAATTTAAAAACATCTGGTTTAGGAGATTACCAGTTCATTACTTCATTATCTTGCTTTTTTCATATAAACAGTTTTAGCCAGTGTTTAAGACAAAAATTATTTTGGGTTCTCTGAATCTACCTGCTTTGGTTTTTCTAGTAATCATAAGAAATAACCATCTTTAGTTTAGGGTTTTTTTTTTAAGTTGTAGATGGACACAATGCCTTTATTTTATTTATTGATTTTTTATGCGGTGCTGAGGATTGAACCTAGTGCCTCGCACCCGATAGACAAGCTACAGCCTCAGCCCCATCTTTAATTTTTAATGTTTAAATTTTCTGTAATGAGATACTTTGATATATTACATGATACAGGGCTAGTTCTATTTGGATTATAATTTGCTTGTAGAGGTATGGGGGTGGGGGCACAGAATGATAAAATACAATTATTCTAATTTAGGAAAGACTATAGGACTCTTAAGAGGGTTGTTGGGGCTGGGTTTGTGGCTCAGTGGTAGAGTGTTTGCCTAGCATGTGTGAGGCACTGGGTTTGATTCTCAGCACCACGTATAAGTAAATAAATAAAGGTCAATCAACAACTAAAAAAATTTTTTAAAAAAAGAGGGCTGCTGGTATTAGAAAAACAGGATTTTAATTTATATAAATTGTTTTCTAAGCAGCTTGCTTATTAGCTATCCATCTTTTTTATATTAAGATGTTTAGGTTCTATCAGTAGAGGGTCATCTAAACTTAGATATTAGTGACTTGTATTTTTGAACAAAAGAAGGCACATAGTTGAATGTCTCATAGTTCTCTATTCTCTTGACACATTTGAAGCGGGGGTGAGAAGAGGCCAGAAGACTTTGACTTCATGAAGAACATTTTCTGCCTTGTAGTCAACATCTGTGAGGTGCTTATAATGTAAAAGTAGTTTTACACAGTGAAGAACCAAGTCTTCTAGTAGATTTAATTGAGGATTTTTCAAAGAAATCTTCTCCTATATCCTCCTCTTCTTCATTACACTTTTTCTTTTCTCTTTATTTCTTTTTCTTTCTTTTTTTTTTTTTTTTATGACTGCTTTGAGTCGCCATCTGGTTTTTAGCTAGCTGTGCGGCCTCCAAAGGTAGCAGTCGCAACAGCTTAAAACTCTTGAAAACTTTGTTGGTGACAGATTTTTTTAGGGGCCAGATGCATATGTAATCTTTTACACAGATATGCCTCTGACCTCGGGGGTAGTTCATCTTGAGTTATTTCTATCAGTGATAACAAATGACAACCAGTTATTACATAGGTGACTGGAGTTAGGGGATGACTACTGTGACTGTGATAGTTCCTCTGAACAAAGTCAGCTGGCCCGTTCTTGATTGAACTCTTGACCTTGCCTCATTAACACCTGCTCTAAGGGGTGATTAGAAGCAGATTGCCAGCTGCATCCTTTTGCAGTCTGGGCAGTTACTTAGAAAGATTGCCAACTTATGTGCCTGGAGATCTGTACATCTTAAATTAAAAATAATTATGGGAATTCTTCCAGAAGTTTTATTGGGGAAGCTTAGATTTGACCTTACTGTGATTAACCCTGTGGTTGTTTTGTTGTGGTTATTTTAAAAGATATTAAATATTGCCTTTGTAGAGTTTTTTTTATTTTGGGGCGTGTGCCAATTTAATAAAAACGTATTATTTCTATGTGTCATCCTTTGGATTATTATAGGATGATCATTAGAAATATTTGTTGCATAAGTATCAAAAATGTACATTCTAAAAATTTCATTCCTAGATTACTTTTAGGTGACTGAAACCAGATAATGGCAGGATTAAGGGGATAGGCTAAAATATGACTTGAATTGAAAGGGAATTTCCATTTAAGAAGTGAGAAATTAATATATATGGAATATTTCTAAAGTGTTCTCCAGATAAAGCTGAGAAGCCTATGTTTTGCAATATTTTCCTTAGGATTTGTACTTCATAAATACAATTAATGTAAGAAAGGTATTTTGTAAAAGCTCACATCCCACCCCCCTAATGTCATTGGTAGAGCACTTGCCTATCATGTGCAGGGCCCTGGAAATTTTTAGAATGTACATTTATGATACTTATGCAACAAATATTTCTAATGATTATCCTATAATAATTCAAAGGATGATACATAGAAATAATACATTTTTATTAAATTGGCACACAATCCCCAGCACCACAAAGCAAACAAATAAACAGAAAATACTTTGATGTAACTTGGGTAGTTTCATACTGTTGTTGTTTTGGTGTGCTTGTGTTAAATACATTAAATATTGTAAATATTTTCCTTTTTAGGAAATTAGATTTTGATAGGGTGTTATTTATTAGTCTGCTTTTCTGTATTATTTTTCCAAGGCAGTGTTAGGTGTACATCTTAAAATTAAATTATACAAAGCTTTTCGCTTTCTTATAGCAAATCATTTGAATAGTTTAGCTTTACATTTCAAATTCTGTTACTGGAAGTAGCTGCTTCAAAAACTTGCTCATGTATGTTATACTTTGTAATTTTTAATGAAATTCTATGGGTTATGATCACTGTGTATGTAGGCGATCCTCAGCTGGTTAGTCCCTTGCCCTAGTCTCCTTCAGAAACCTTGTCTATTTAATCTTCCCCACAGTACTATGAAAATAAGCAATGAAGCTCCATGCTTTTTTTTGAGGTAAATGGAGCTCAAAAACCAAATTCATTACCAAATATTAATGTTAAAATATGGTATATAGAAATAATAAATACAGCGCATACAAATATTATTGAATAAGAAGGACATGAAAAATAAGTAGATGTTAAGTAGAAAGGTAGGAAATATAAATTTATGCACAGTATAATCCCAATTTAACTTATGCACATCAGAAGAATCAAAGAAAATATCACAAAGTGTTAAGGATTGTTATAATGGCTTACCATTATAGGCAGTTTTGGGTTTTTTTGCACGTAATTGTGTGGTGAAGGGTCTGAAAAGTGACTCTGTGTCTTTCCTTTGGAACAATTTGCATAGACTTAAAAATCGATCCTTAAATTCCAAGGACCTCCTCACCTCTTCCCCTTCATGTTTAGGTTGTATGACTGAATTTGTTTTTAAAAGTTGATATTTGGGGTTGGGGTTGTGGCTCAGTGGTGTAGCATTTACCTAGCACTTGTGAGGCCCTGGGTTCAATCCTCAGCACCACATAAAGGTAAATAAATAAAAGTGTTTTTTTTTTTTTTAAGTTGATATTTGGATGAGTGAAGTAGCATCCTACTTAGTATTATTTTTCATGATAGTGTTAAAAATAAGAATTTTATTTTTTTATGACAGTGTTTTGAGTATTTTGTCTTACTTTTGGAAGTATTTGTTTAACTTGATTGTTTAGAGCAACATACAAGTGAAGCCACAGTCATGGTTTGGTTTTCATGAGGGTTGTTTAGCTTTTGTTCATTTTTATCTAGACAGCCTTAAAACTGGCTGGGCACATTACAAATAAATTATGGTATTTCTTGTTTTTAGTGTCTAATTTTGTTGAAATGAACAGTCTGGATTTTCAGTGGAACTGGTGAAACTCGGGGGTACTGTATGTGATTAAATCAGTATTATAAATCTATGATCAGAAAAATCTGCTCAAAGACATGTGTTACTGAGTATTGCATAGCTCCTTGCTTTATCCTTGTATAAAGATAGTCTTTTCCTTTTTCATTTTAAAATTATTTCATCTCAATATCTGATAATAATTAAGAAATTTATCTTAGATTATTAGAATAATATCAACAGTATACTGAGATAATACTTTTTTAAAATGTTGGTTTTGTAGGCCATAATTCATGAAACATGTTTTAAAAAACAGAATACTATGATAATAACTGGAAGAGCATGAATTTTTTCCTGTTTGTTTGTTCATTAGACTTAATACATACATAAGGCAGGAATCCTAAATCCTGTTGCCTTCAGAGAAGCTACTGACTTATGTGACCAAATTTTTAAAAATCAAGACTTTAGATAACAAAATAGGGGCTGGGGATGTGGCTCAAGTGGTAGCGCGCTCGCCTGGCATGTGTGTAGCCGGGGTTTGATCCTCAGCATCACATACAAATAAAGATGTTGTGTCCGCCAAAAACTAAAAAATAAATATTAAAAAAAAAATTCTCATTCTCTCTCTCTCTCTCTCTCTCTCTCTCTCTCTCTCTCTCTCTCAAAAAATAGATAATAAAATAGAATAGACAGTTGGAGTTATTAAGTATATGATGCTGTGATTTTGTTAATTTAGGTGACTAGATTTGGAATTTATCCAATGTAAAACAATTTAAGACCTGATGGGTATTATAAATTCAATATTTATTTACTGTACAATATTTATGTTCTTTTAAATAGGTGATTGGTCTATTGGATGTGTTTACACCTGCAAGATCTCTGGAGGAATTTAATGATGTGTGAGTATATCTTTTGCATTTGCCTTCCTCAGCTGGAGGAGGATTAGCAACCTGTATCTGTTCCTGAATCATTTAGTAGTTATACAGGACTTCAACAGATTCTTCATTCCTATTATCCGGGGTTTTGGGGTAGATACAGAAGATGCATATTTATGTGTGGCACATTTTAGTGTTTTCATCATTTCAGGTTTTTGTATCCCATTTGGAGAGTCCTTACAAAAGTTCCAATGGAGAAGAGGGTAGAGGGGGTTTCCCTTGTGACTTTTCTTCTCAAATTGCCTGTCCTAACTTTCAGAGGTACTCTTCAAGAAATGTAATGGAGGGCTGGGGATGTGGCTCAAGTGGTAGCGTGCTCGCCCGGCATGCATGCAGCCCGGGTTCGATCCTCAGTACCACATACAAAAAAAAAAATTTGTATCCGCCGATAACTAAAATATAAATATTAAAATTCTCAAAAAAAAAAAAAAAAGAAATGTAATGGAGCCTAGTTCCATATAAGCTTTTTGCTCTTTTATCCCATGTGCATGGGGAAATAATACTAGAACTACATGCTGATCTTTGAGGTGTTAAGATTTTTGCACCAGGACAAGGGCATACCCTACAAGTTGAGAAAGATTTCTCCCAATTTTGTGACTATTGTTTTAACCTGGGATCCCCTAGAACATAGAGCTTGAAAGTTTGAGGAACCACGAGGGGAAGGCTAGGTAAAATGAAATAGGGAAGAAGAGAAAGGTGCTACAAGAATACGTTAATGATTTGGTCCACTTGGGCAACTGGGCTGGAAACTGCCAGCATCTGAGAAGCTATACATACTGTATCTCAGATGGGGAGTATTCATGTACTGGCTCCTGATCCCATTGTCCAGGTGTGCTCATGAGTGCAAGACACATCCAAGCAGATGTTCCCATGCGTGTACGAACCCTCTGCTAGTGTTGTTCTCTCCAGTATCTGAATTACCTACCTTGCCTCTCCCCAGTTCATAGATGTCATAAGAGAGACAGAACACCTTTAATACAGAGTTACACATTTGCTTCTTTTGAAATTTTGACATTCCTAAGTGGAAAGGATGATTATTGTAAAAGCCAAAACAGAATTGTAGATCATGACTGCTTTTCCTTAACCCATGTTAGCTTTCTGTCACTAAAACAGAATGCCTGATTAACTTATAAAGAGAAAAGGTTTATTTTGGCTCATGGTTTTAGTAGTTATGATTCATGGTCAGGAGAACCCATTGCTTTTAGGCATCTGGTGGTCATTCCTCTAGATGGCAGTGGTGGGGAGTATATGTCAGAGCAAAAGTGCTCATCTCAAGGCTAGAAAGCAGAAGAGGAAGGGACTGGGGTCCCACAGTTTCCTTCAAGGTCATGTTCCAGTAACCTAAAGACCTCCCACTAACCCCCATCTCTTAAAGGTTGTACTGTTTCCTAATAGTGCCACCCTGGGGTCCAAGCCTTTAACACTTGGGCCTTTTGGGGCCATTTAATATCCAAACTATAGTACTTCCCATTGCTGCCAGTGCAGAACCTAACCTTTTCTCCTCAGTCTTATCCTGTGCTGTGTATAAACACCATTTGATCCTTTCCCACAAAACAAATTGGGGAATATGCTTGAGCTCATAAGTTCTTTCTATGGAAATTGTGGGGAAAAAGAAATGAAGAAGATGAAATGGTAGAAGGAGGAAAGGTAGCTAAAAATAATTTCCCCTTCATTAGAATTTACTTGGGGGGCTTGGGCTGTAGCTCAGTGGTAGAGTGCCTGCCTAGCTAGCATGCATGAGGCACTGGGTTTGATCCTCAGCACCACATAAAAATAAACAAACAAAATAAAGGTCTTCTGTCCATCTACAACTACAATTTTTTTTTTTTTTTTAAATACTTGAACATGGTATGATGAGGAGAGGACAGAGCAGAATTTGGTCCACTCACAAGACTCCTTAGCTACATTAACCTTGAATCTGCTGATGTAAGTTTAAGAAACAAGCAAAGGAAAAAATAGGCAATAATAAGCTGTGTTTCTTGCAGTCCTCTTTGGCACCATAATGGAGGCTTCCAAATATTACTGGATGCTACCCAGAGGCATGTGTGACACAAATTGTTGAGACCTGCTGCTGGCTATGCTTGGAAAAGAGAATGTTGCAAAATAATGTTTTTCGATGTTCTAACATGGTAGTAAAGCAACATGTTTGTGAGTTACTTTGGAAAACATTTGAGTTAGGTCTGAGCTCTATCCCAAATTTTAAATTTAATAAAGATATATTTATTTGACCAAATAAAGAAAACATGATTTGCTGGCTTGGGCAAATATTGAAGTTTGGCTTAATTAGGTATTCTGGAAATGGATTATAACACCTTTGGCTTCTTCATCCGAATGAGGGCTCCCAACTACATTAAAGTTGTATTGATTCATATATCCATCCATTCATTCAACAAGCATCATAACTGCTGAGTTGGCATCAGCTTTTTTCACGCAACTCTAGCAACAACTAAGTTCATCTCTTGGAAGTAAATCTCAGTACTACTTGTTGGTTACTGATTATAGTGCAAAATACCTAGCAGTTGGTGGGAACAGGCTCAGAACTCTGGGTGAAAACAGTTGGTGAAACATTCAGAATATTTTTGTATCCAAGTTACCAATTGGCTGTATGACCTTGGAAAGTTACTTTACCTCTTTAGGCCCCATTGACTTCCCTGTGAAATAGTAAAAAATGAGGCAGTTGATTCCTGATCCCAGAAAACCTCTGAAAATAGAATGATGAGTCTAATAGAATGTATATATAATATACATTTATATATGATATACATGTATATATAATGTATATATAATAGAATGTATAATAGAATGAGTATATAGAATAGTAATAATAGAATGATGAGCTTGCTGTTAAGAAATGTCTTATTTACATTTTGTGATGATTTTCTGAAAAAAAAAAGTGCTTTTCTAAGATTGTAGCTATTTCAGTGTTTTCTGGAGTTGTTTTAGAATTTTTTTTGGTTTGTTCAGTATTTGTTGTTGTCTTGTTTCTGGTGGTGCTAGAGATCAAACCCAGGGCCTCACACATGCTAGGCAAGTGCTCTACCACTGGTCCAGGCCCTTGATGCCCCCAAAGTCATTTTAGAATATGTGTAAGAGACTAAACAACTTTATTTACAGTTGTAGGCTTTGCAAATTGAACTATCTTCAAGGCTAAACAAATAACATAAATGAGGCTCAGTGTTATATAACTGTGAGTGGTGGAGTTTGTGGTAAAATATATCTATACCTCCTAAAAGCATTCAAATTCACATTAAAACAAAACAAACAAAACCCACTCTTCTGGCCAAACCAAACACATTGAAGACTAGAGCATTCTGCACACTGCCAGATTTACAGCAGACTGTAATTTTGAACATGGATTTTCTGTACTAATTAGCAAATCTCTAATTACTTTTCAGATGTATGGTTCACTTTTAATCATGTGTTTTGTGTATTTGTGCCTTTATGTTTCCGTTAACACTTTTCATTTTATCACACAATTTAAATTTTTACCAAGTTTTAAATTTCTAGGTTAAGATGTACCCTGAATACTTCATTTGTAAGACTACCTTTGAGAAAGGAACAATAGGTAGTGAGTTTTGTTCATTAGGAACAATGTACAGTTACTCAATCTAATAAGTGAAGATAGTGTTTGGAAAATGCGGAGTTAAAAGATGAGACAAGTGCTCTTGACTGCTATATGGTATGGTTGTATAGGTGGCAAATTTATATAAAGATATATCTAGATTTTTTTAAATGATTGCAAATCATTGAATGGCTCTTGAATGGCAATATTTGTCAGGAGGCTACAAATACATATATGTGCCTATTTGTGCTATAAATATTTAGTTGTCAGTAGATATGTAAAAGTTTTAAATAGCCAGTATTCAGACCTATGCTCAGTATTAAGTTACAACTTTTCCCAATAATAGTATTGCCACCCCCACCCTTTTTTCTTCTTTAATGCAGTACTGGGGATCAAACCAGGGCCTTCACTGTTCTCTAGAACTGTTTCTTCTTACAAAACTAAAACTCTATACTTGTTAACTCCCACGGTTCTAGGAGTTCTTTATATATTTTAAATATTAACCCCTTCCCAGATATATGAGTTGGCAAATATTTTTTCTTATTCTGTAGGTCACATTTTCACTTTGTTAATTGTATCCTTGATAAGCAAAATTTTTAAAACTTGATACAGTCCCACTTGTTGATTTTTACCGTATTTTTGGTGCCATATTCAATAAATCATATGCAAAAACAACTACAATAGAAACAAAACCAAGGGCCTTGAGCATGCTAGGCACTTGCTGTACCACTGAGCTACATCCCCTTGCCTCTTCCTACTATAGTGGTTTTCTGATCAAGCAGTGGAAAGCTTTGAGACTATTTATGGAAACTGTTCTCTCAGATTTCAGAAAAACTGTTGTCTTAGGTTAGTGAAAATTAGTCTTCTGCCACTTTTCCCGTTTTGCACCTTCCCATTCCAGGGAATTTCTTACATTGAATTCTTTATCTCTGCTTCATTCTCTAAGAGCGAAATGGAATGAGTGGGGTCTTGGATGCTGCGATCTTGAGAAAATCTACAACAGCCCACTCAGCAGCCTTGGTTGTAGTAAATGCTGGTAGGGCTCATGATCCCCCAGCTCAGCCTCCCACCTACTAAAAATGATTGTTCAACTAATAAGTTAGTCTTTCATTTCAATATAAATGGAATTGGTAAAGGGAATTCTAGATTTACATTTTATTGATTGTATTCAATAAATATTTGAACATCCACCTTATGCTAGTCATAGTATTAATCTCTGAGGAATACAACAATCCTGATCATTGAGTTGAGGCCCTTCACGGAAGAGAAGAACAATTTAAAAGATAGAACGAAATACAGTGTGGTAAGTTCAAAGAGGTCCTGCTTGATTTGATCCTGTGCATCCTCATCTAGTCTCATGTAACCTTCTTTCTGTCCTCTCTCCATTCTGATCTCTTTGGCT